TGCTTTTTCTCTTCGTCATACCACACATAGGCATGCCAGCCCATGTGTAGGTCATGACCTTCTAATTTTAAGGTTCTACTGTCTTCTAGCAAGATCCAATCCCGAATCCAGGTCATTGCTGCCGCTCTATAATATAGTTTCCACTCTGGCAAACCCAGGCCTCCTCTTTCTTTTTTATCATGTAGTAATTTTAATCTTATACGTGCTCTCTTTGCTTGCCATATAAAGCTTCTTGTTATTTTCTCCAGTTCTTCACATATTTTGTAATTTTTTAATATAGGGATTGTTTGCGCAAGAAACAAAAATCTAGGTAGGACATTCATTTTTATAGTGGCAGATCTCCCCATCAACGAGATGTGAAGATCCTGCCATTTTTTCAGGTCTTTCTTGATTTCTTCTATTAAGGGTTTGTAATTGTTCACATATAGTTGTGCATTATCCTTTGTCAAATTTATGCCTAAATATTTAACTTTATCTGTTATTTCCATCTTGGTACTGTTTTGCAGTTTATCTATCTCTTCTTTAGAGCAATTTTTTATTAGGATTTTGGTTTTCTTCAAGTTTATTTTTAATCCTGCCAGATTTCCATATTCTTGGATTTGGTACGTTAGGTGGCGTTATAGATGTGATGGGATCTTCCAGAATGAATACCAAATCGTCAGCGAAAGCCTGTAATTTATATTGTTCACCTTTTATTTTAGTGCCTCTAATATTTGGATTCTGTCTCACCATGTCGTTTAGAGATTCCAAGCAAAAGATGAAAAGTAGAGGTGAGAGCGGGCAGCCCTGTCTGGTGCCCTTCTGAATTGGGATCTTTTGTGATAATTCTCCGTTTACAACTATTTTCGCCCATTGCTCTTTGTATATGGCCAAGAACATGTTTTCAAACTTCTCTCCGCAATCCCACGTTTTTAATTTATACTTCAGAAAGGACCAATTAACGTTATCAAAGGCTTTTTCTGCATCCAGGAATATTAGTGCAAGCTGTTTGCCTGGATTATATTCATAATATTCTAGGATGTTTATAATTGTTCTAACGTTGTTCTTTATCTGCCTTTTCGGAAGGAATCCTGATTGGTCCCGATGTATTATTTGGGTCATGACTTTTTTAAATCTTGCTGCTAGGATTGAAGCAAAGATCTTATAGTCCACATTTAAGAGTGAAATGGGTCTATAGTTTTTTATATCATCTTGTTCGGAGTTTGGTTTGTTTATTAAAGATATGATTGCCTCATTCCAAGAATTTGGTGTTTTCCCAGAGATAGCTATATCGTCTATAACTTTTTTAAAAAGCGGAACTATTTCTTCTTCCAATTTTTGCAGTATTTCTGCCGGAATGCCATCTGGTCCCGGAGCTTTCTTCCTTTTTTGTTTTTTGAATGCCTCAGTTATTTCGCACATTGTAATTTTATCATTTAAGATCTGTCTTTGTTCTTCAGTAAATCTCTTCTTGTTATGGTTTGCGAAAAAGTTTTCTAATTCTTGTTGCGTGCTTGGAACCTTTTTATACAGTTCTCTGTAGAAATTTTCTACAATTGTTATAAGTTCATGGTTTTTATATTTTAACTCCTGTTTTTCGTTTTTCAGCGCTTGGATTTCTCTTTTCTCTTTTTCCTTTCTCAGCTTATATGTGAGCCAACGCGTAGGTTTATTCGCGTTTTCGAAGAAGTAAGCTTTAGCATACTCTATTTTGGTTGCTATCTGCTGTGTCAGTAGTAAATTTATTTGGTGTTGTAGCAGTTTAATTTTGATCATTATCTCACTTATTTCCCCTTTACTTTTGGCTTTTACTTCTTCCTTTTTTAGATTTTCTGTTAGCTTTTTAAAGTTTTCCCTTTTTTGTCTTTTTTTCCATATATCTTGTGAAATAAGAAGTCCACGCAAAAATGCCTTCATCGCATCCCATATCATGCCTAGAGACATGTTTTCTGTTTGGTTTATTTTTATAAACTCTCTTATATCTTGTTTGATTTTGGATAGAAATTTATTATCCCTTAATAGTCCTGCATTCAATCTCCATTTAGAAATTTTTCGGCTCTCTTGTAAGGTCATTTTGAATTTCCATCAATGGTGCACTATAGCAGAATCTTTCAATGTTGCACGCAAATTATTTTCCCTATGGGCCAGGTTCGTTTCTTATTTAAAGTGACTGGTTTGACAATATTTCTTGAAGCTTCTATCATAATGATTTTTATGGCCATGCTTATGAACAACCCTGTGCTCTGGAGCGAATTCGCAGAACACTCAAAGTAACTCACCCCCAATACTAACTCAAACTGCCAGAGTAAAGTTCTTGGGGAGCATAAAATGGTGAGGTGCTTCCTCCAGCTTCACAAAAGCAAAACAATGTCTTCCAACAGGAAGTTCCTAAGATTCTCCTGCTTAGCACCTCTTCTAATTGAACAAAGACAGCAAAATTATTTAAATAGAGGAGACAGCTGAGTGCATAGCTGCAAAACAATGAATCCTTTCAGACAGCCAAATGCAGGTTGCAGGCTTACAATGAACACAAGGCAGCACAAGGCAAGGGATTCTGGTGTTCAGCTGTCTGTAAGCGATTTCCACTTGAAAAGCACTTGAGTGCCTCCAGGCGGTTGTTCCACATTTCCAGTGCAGCTGCCCAGTCCCTGACAAATGGTTCTGTAGTGGCTCTTAAGTGGCATCTATGTACAGATAGCCAATGTCTCATGAATTACCTGTGCTCATTACAGGATAGAGGTAACAACAAGCTATCTGGCAGAGAAAGTCTACCTGATGATTTTCTTACCTGCTGGAGGTTAGGACTTTTCACTTTGTTTTTCCCTACGTGATTAAAAAAATGAAAACAAAAGCCAACCACATTTAGGGAAGTGGGCTTTAGAATCTGGAAACAGTTTAATGTGTTTGTTTCATGGCCAACCATTTTTGGGACAGACTAGGTATCTAAGAGGGCTTATCCAGATGATCAGAAGGAAGCATACTCTAAGTATTTGAAACTTTGTGGAGTGGTTACTAGGAATAGTGGATGTGTCTGAGGGGTAGAAGAAAAGTTGGTTTTTATACCCCACTTTTCTCTACCTTAAGGAATCTCAAAGAAGTTTACAATCGCCTTCCCTTTCTCTTCCTACAACAGG